TTTTAATTGGTACCCATTAAAGCTAGGTCGACGACCTGGGAGACAAGGTTCTTTTTGAAAAACCTCCGGCTTCGTTCGGATTTGAACCCTTGAACCCACAACTTTTGAAACCGAGGGCAAGAGTCCAACCGTAACACTACAGCGGTTAACTTTTACCATTTGAGAGGTTTATTTAAAAACAAAATTAATTTGTGTTGAGCTTTAAATATCAGAAGCGGTAATAGCTCGAAAACGGTACCTTCCCTTTACCTTATCTTTGTGTTTGCTTGAGAATCGCTAGGCTGTAGGAGAGATCTAGGCAAAGACAAGACAAAGCTAAATCTAGAAAGGTAACAAGTCAGGCCGGGGGGATAATTAATGATCCAGTTTCCAGGTCTGCTGGCAAGAAGAAAAGGAAACTGTTAACAATAGGTGGACAAAATCAACCATGCGTAGCCGGGGCTATACGGAAAGCCATGTCATCTCACGTGACTTCCAAAAACTTATTTATTCCATTTGTAGGAAGAGCTGTGGTGCAGTGTCGCTTATTAAATGTAGTTTGTGTTTTAATATTTTCTAGGACTTATGAATTGTTACATGGTTGACGATCGCTTTGCCTGCAATTTACATTAACACCACCTCGTTGACGTTCTTACAAAATGAGGACACAGCTTGGACAAGGGCAACTGTGTTTGCTCATTAGTTTGATTTTCTATGACGTTCCAGCAGTTTTACCTGAGAACCAGATCCCAACGGAGATTAGAGTTGCCTGGTTTGCTCCAAAAGAGACCTACATGGGTTTGAGTGCCAGTACTTCGGTCAACACTTTCAAGTACGCACTCAAAGCTGTAAGCGGTAGCCATCTGAAAGGTACTACGATTAGGTATGTACAGAGTCACATTTGTGCTATGCAAGGTATCACTAATATCCCCCCAGTGTATCTGTCTGTACAAGACCTGTTATAGTACTCTTACCCAGACATACATTCTCTGTATTCTGGTTCAGTCCAACTACTGTCAGACTTCGGGGACACTGGGTGTATTAATCGCTCAGTGTGCGATCCCAGTGGATTACAACTTCACTCACTCACTCACTCATTCACGCCAGTGCCATTTGATCAACAGACCTGAATTAAGACGTCGAGATCCCAAATTCAAGAAGAATACACATTTCACAAGTCGATTTTACATTTTAGCCATCAACAATTAATGTTATCTGCGGACCTTTCCATGTCCATCTGTCTATATGTTCCTCGATATCACGATAAGTATGGATCCGACAATAGACGCGAAGAGACAATCTGTGTTCATACTTTTTGTAGCATGTTGCCATGTTCGAAGAAGCTGCTTGTTGGCACTCAAGGTATAGTCTACATGTTTTCCAAGACTGAGAAGAGGCGCTGAAGTGATGAAGGGGTTCTCAAGTTGCCGGACATGGTTATCTTTTGAGGGGCGACTAGATTTGACTCTCAGGTGGATCACTGGATTTGATATTATTTGTTCAAAATCTATGGTTCAGTATAGTCGAAATGAAAATATCAGACACTTGGGCATTGCGGGTACGGGTGATGTTGCGTAGGGGTGGGGTGGAGTGAGTTACAAACACAAATTCTGAAAGTTTCTTAGACCTCGTTTGATTATGAAACGCTACACTGGTTCCTTTTTTTTTTTTAAGTAAAGCCTTACCCACATCAAACGTGTGAGATTTGCCATTTTAGTTGAAGTTGTATTACTTTATTTCTGTTGTCAACACATTTCACTGGCACTGCCAGATAGTGTCAGCCTGAAAATGATATGGATATTTTTTTAGCCCCTCCCTCCCCCCCCCCCAAAAAAAAAGTCCGTTCAGAGGGTATTTTAGTCTAAAAACTGTCATGGAAACCCGCAGCGAGTTTTTCTATAATACCATTAATTAGAGCTCAGACTTGACAGTTGAGTCCACAGATCAGGATGAACATATCTCACCCTCTACTATAAAACCAGAACACAGACGACACGCGAAATAAAGGAAACTGTGAAAGCATTAGACACGTCAAGATTTAGAAACTCTATCTTCCTCCGAAGTCGGAGTACATCTGCCGGAGAGGCGGGGAACGAGAACTGCAAACAAATAAGCCAGTAAAACGGATGTACACGCAAAACTCAGGTCAAGGTAAAAGCCAAAAGTCCATTTTGGACGAACAACCGCGACTTACCGCCGGAATTTACAGCCGGTGAACAAGAAGAAGAAGAAGAAACTCTATCTCTAAGTGTATGTTGCCTACGCGATTGACTGACTGACTGACTTTCTACCCAACTAGGACATCACACAAGCGATAAACACCCGATGACACAAAGTACCACCATGTGGATGAGGATCGCCGTGGAGAGGTCCCAGAAACCGCGTTCAGACAATTGACCATATTTATGGCCTGCCTATATTGCGGCCCGTGGCAAACGCCAGGGTAGGGCTTCAAACAACAAAAAATTTCATCCTAAAAAAGACGAAGCTGGATCTAAGCTGCGCGATTTCCATCTTCCCCGTTTTGTTTTGCAATAGCCCTTTCTTTTTGAATGTTCTTTATATATATATATATATATCTATTCATTTTTCCATGGAATCTTCTCATTCGTTTTTGTTGTTATGATTTTTTTTTCAAAGAAAAGACTGATCAAAATGTTCTGTTGTATTTGTGTGTGTGTCTTTTTATTTCTCTTGGTTAAATACATTAACCATTGTTTGCTGTGTGTCTTCTTCCTAACGTTGACAGGATGTAATCTCCAGCGAAAAGTTCAGGTTATTTGTCCGCTCATGGGCTTTGGTCTTGATCCAGAACTTGTGTTTTGCCTGCACTTCTGTTGAAAAATCATTTTTTTTTTTAAATGCAAACCGTTGCTAATTTTTTGCCTCTCGGACAGCCGCTATCTGACTTTGCGGATAACACCTCTAATTAGTCGTTTCCTGCTACATGCTGGTCATACGAACAATTGGTTCATTCTTTGTTTTATGAAATGGAGCATCCAGAGCTTACACGAGGATTTGTGTTGTATAAGATTACAACTACTATCAACAGTTGTATGGTTCTAATTTGATTTTTCTTACGGTCAGATCAGTTCTATAATTTGATCTTGCTTATGGCCAGATCAGTTCTTTTACCGTGAGTACCAGTTTTGGGCTGCTCAGTGTTTCATTTTTATCAGTTGTAGATACGGTGGTTGGCCATTTCACAGACCATCAGATTCTGATGGTGAGTCTATAGTCTGTTACGTGTTTGTTTTTCCTCCTAATATTCATATTTGATCATAAAATGCAATTGCTATGAGAAAGATGAGTGTTAGTATATAAGAAGGGCCTGCGTGGCCAATTTGTGACCCTTTGAAAATAAATTTCGTTCATACATTCGTTCGTTCATACAACAAAACTATTTCATGATTAAATAATCGAGGTCTTCTCTGCCATTACCTGCAATGTGTTTCTGTTTTTACAACAACAAAAAGTTTGTTTTGAGTGTCACTTCATAAAAAAAGTAAGTCATGCTTCACACAGAATATCACATTCACATTACATTTATTGACTTAATCTTCGATTTCTCTTTGACGGTCTTAGATCATTACTTTGCAATGCGTGACTGCTTTTTGCTGCATGTTTCTTTGTAAGTGTTACTACACAATTTTAAGTTTGGCTTAACTAGAAAATACTATAGTATAGGATTTTCAGTTTCAGCTGCCATGAAGGATACCACGTCCACTCCAGTTCTTGAAGCATTTCGAACGCGTTTAGTAATTCCAAGATAACTGTTTAACTGCGGGCGATTTAGCAGCAGACCGACTTGCGTTTATTTCGTCAATTGTGTTGACAGATGACTAATTAGGTACAATGGCAAACTAGTGGTCGTAAAACTACCTAGTATAACCAAACACCAAACAAACATTTTAAGAAAAAAACTGCTGAGGTTGGTTCTGCTACTCCTGTAAAACGTCTAGCTTTTTTCTTCAACCGATACTTTAAGACAGTCTTTATGGTTTTAAGCGAAAAAAAAAAAAAAAAAAAAAAAAAAAAAATTTAGCAAAGCGTTTTGAATACTGCTTCATCAAAGAAGATACCATAAGAAAGCGTTTCCAGTATTGCATGACATGTAATATGTGTTCCCCGTCTAGAACCTGCAGACACATCTTTATTGAACAAACCAACTAATACATTGCCCCTAAAAAAAAATTTATCGTAAATTTAGGCTTTCATCTCAGATATTGCACTAAGCTCTACAACTCAACACAGCGTTCTGATTGCCATATTAAGAGTACAGAAAAATAAAAAGAAGAAGAAGTTTAAGAAGAAGAAGAAGAAGAAGAAGAAGAAGAAGAAGAAGAAGAAGAAGAAGAAGAAGAAGAAGAAGAAGAAGAAGAAGAAGAAGAAGAAGAAGAAGAAGAAGAAGAAAAAGAAGAAGAAGAAAAAGAAGAAGAAGATGATGATAATGATAATGATGATGATGACGATGAAGATGATGCTGATGATGGGAAGGATGATGATTCTTCCTCTTCTATTTCTTTCGTTCGCGTGAAATAAATTATTTATATCTGCAATGTTGTCTCTAGTATGAATTTCACTGTCATTTGTAATTCACTCAGACTCGTAAAGTGTGTCTTCAAGCAGATGTTTCTCTTGGCAAGAAGTTTTGCCTTAATTTGTTGCATCTGGGACAGTCTTAGATGACATGATCTGTTATCTCCGGTGCCAATCCACAAGTGCACATGGCTGATTCGCCAATGAAAAATGTCGTGTACATGTAGCTGCGAAGTCGACTGTGTCCTGTCCTAAGACGTAGAATTAGAACTTGCTCTGGTCTGTCTATAATATGATAATGATCTTGTGCCGGTTTTGATGATGATAATGAAGAAGATGATGATGATATTAATGACGCAGAAATACAGCATCACGTTTTCAGTTCGCTTATCATATAAGATAGTTTTAGAAGTTGAGTGCTCGCTTATCACATAAACATAGAGATTCCATGTAATGCAATAACATTACGTGTTCATGAACAGGGTCAAATGGTACGACACCAAGTGTGACACAAAAACTGCCCTTTCATCTGTGGTCGACGCTAGGGCTGACTTTGACCCTGATTTCATTCTTGGACCGCCCTGCTCCTCAGGTGGGTACTGCTGTAGAGAAATATACACTATATATAGGGTGGAGCATCGAATGAAAACATAACAAGTGTGATAGACATTGCAATCACTATGCCAGTATTTTGTCCTGTCATTATTTTGGTTAGGGATGTCAGAAGATTGTTTATACAACGGGTCAACATCATGACACAAGAATGTTAACCCATAAGTTCTACCTCGAACTCATGCCTGAGTCTGAAGAATCTCAACGCAGTATATATTTATTACCTTTTTTTTTTTAATCTGATCTGATCAATCACAGTGAAATAATATAGGCGCTAAATATTTAACTAGGAAATGTCAACCCTCTCTTGCATATTCTCTCTCTCTCTCTACCTCTCTCCTTATCTATAGATATCTGTCTCTTTATTTTTCTCTGTCTCTCTCTGTCTCTCGCGTACACGCATAAACTAACACACACACACACACATACACACACACACACACATACGTATTTTCTGTAATAAGGATCATATGTAACCGACCGAAAGTACGTCATTTTCGATTCCTCTTTTTGTCGCTAGAAGAAAAAAAATTAGTAAAATATTGTAGCACTGTAGGTAAACATTTAGCTGCGTTTATGGTACTGAATAAGCCAGAACTCTAATGTATGTACGAATATCACTGAACATTCGATACCAAGTAAACAATTTGCTATTTTTAATGGTATTCTTGCATGTTGCTCATATTTGTCGTTTACAGTGTTTTTCTTGAACGCTAACTTTAATTTCAGTCAGTTACTTCCGTCCAAATATGGGACGCACGAGAAGTCAACCAACATAGGACTGGGACTATCAACAGCGAGATGCTGTGTGTATATGTTGAAGGGGGAGTCTGAGCACATATGGACATGTCTGGAGTGCTGTGAAAATAATTCAAATCATAACTCATAAACTTTTAACATGTTGCATGCCAAATTTCAAAAACTTACGCAGAACAGTTACTTAATTACACTATGTTTGAAAGTTTGCCACGACTTATAGAACGGATAATCTATTCCGTGCCCATAAAGGACGACATTTTTCGATATTTTAAAGACCTATTCAGGCTGCTACCAAGGGCCCTAATATAACCCAAGCTGTGGGTTGAACGGGGTTTCTGGGATCCTCATTCTAATGGTGGCACCTTGTGTTACCGGGTGTTTATCGCTCGTTTTGCAGTCCTGGTGGGGTTGAACTTAATCATTCATTCGACTTACATTTGTCGATGTTTCTGTGAATGTTCATTCTGCAGATATGAAAGTTATAGCTATGCTGGCGTCACACTGGAACATCCCAGTATTTGGCTGGCTGTCCAACGATCATGCTCTAGCTGACAGAACTATCTATACAACGCTAGTCAGAATTTTAGCTCCACTGAATCAATTTTGTAAGTATTTATGTCGGATTGCAGTCTATACTCATCATTATCATCACCATCATCAACATCATCATCATGTACCTTGCCGACTGGCGGGGGCGATCATGCTTCTTCCCAATCTGCGCATCCCCAAATGTGTGTATTGTCAATTCGTGTGTTGACACCACTCCATGCCATGACAACAGACTGTCAGGAATCTTCACACACTGTATCCCTCTGTCTCTCTTTTCACAGATCTTTCCAGTGGTCAGAACATGTCCCAGTTTCCCTCTTCCCATATTATGACCAAAACAAAAATGATAACTGTCTCTTTCTGATGTTCGAGATAAGTTGTCTTCGAGCACTCGCCTCTTTTAAAACATCTGATTTACTCTTCTTAGCTGTTCAGTGTATTCTAAGGATTCTTCTGTAAAACCACATCTCCGAGGCCTCAAGATATTGTTTGGCTTGTTTACTAATTGCCCAGGTTTCACAGCCATATTTTGAAACGGGATCTATATGGCTTGCTAGAATTCTGTTCCTTACCTCCAATGACATGGATTTATTGCTCAAAATTTTCTTCATTTTATAAAACACAGTTTTGGCCACACGTATTTTAGTCTTTAATTCTGTGATACATCTTCGATGATCTTCCATCCGATGTTATCCATGTGTCTGGAGACTTACATCTCTGTACTTGTCCTAAAAATAACGCCTTAGATTAAAAAAAAAAAAAAACCATTTAGGCACCAATTTTTTCTTGGAGATCGAAGGTTACTTCAATCTTTCCATTTTTCAAACGGAAACCCATTTTTTTATCTTTCTGCCACCACCTTTTCTTCAATTCCTGTAGTTCTTGCTTGTAGCCATTATGTAGTGTACACTCATGTGGACTAATTGCTGTTTGTTTTGTATCAGTGTTAATGAAGGTAAGTTGTCGGGTAGTTCCTAATAAGTGTGGTTTTTTTTAAAGTAAAAGACCCCCCCCCCCCCAGTCAGACGTATTGGGCATATAGGGCTCGACCTTTTTTTATAAACCAATCGGCACTTTGTGGGTGATGTGGTTAGCACCACACTGGCCGCATTTACTTCTCAAGCTGCTTGTTGGCAGCTGGTACCCACTTTAGGCTGGGTTGAACAGAGAGCCAGTGTCATTTATGAAAAAAGTCCCGTTCCATCAAGACCCACCCCAGGACTTTCCGATCCTCAGTCGAGCGTCTTGTCACTACACTACGGCGGCTCCCTCCAAACAAATATTTCATTTCTGTTCACTACGACAGACATCTATCTATCTGTCTATCTTCTTTTACCCCACTAGGACATCACACAAGCGATAAACACCCGATGACACACAGTGCCACCATGTGGATGAGGGACACCCGTGGAGAAGTCCCAGAAACCGCGTTCAGCCATTAGACCATAGTTATGGCCGGTCTATATTGGGGCCCCTGGCAAGAGAAAGAGTAGGGCGTCAAATAACGAAGAATTGCATCCCACAAGGGGATGACTAGATCTATATATATAAAAATCAATGTTTGTGTGTTTGTTTGCCCCCTATAGACTCGGAAACTACTGAACCGATTTAGCTGAGATTTTCAGGATATGTTTGTTTTGATACAGGATGTTAAACCATCATGGTTTGAAATTCAACCTGTCACTGTTAGAGATAGGTGACCACAATTTAAGCAAAAATATTCGAAACTAATATTTAAATTGTTAGTGACATCTAATTATAGCCACGTTAGTAATTGCGCATTCGCCGTAGTCAGAACGCAAGTCTTCCGCTATTCGCTGGCAAGTTACGTGCAGCCAACGCCTTCTCTAATAACATAGAGTAGGTCGTGGTACAGCAAACAAGACTATCTCTATATTTGTGTAGGCAGTGATTGTCACAATAACCATATTAAACACGATTTCTATTTTCTGTTTTTTTTTTTTTTTCCAAACAACCTTCGATGGGAAGGGGGGATGGGGGGCATCAAGGACTATCTCGACGTCGGCGCAGACATTGACTGCGACATTAACTTCATTAACCGTGTTAGACACGTGCGATTTCTATCGTTGCGCCGTTTCATTAAAATATCTGGAGTATCTGTCTATGAGAAAACAATTGCCTGCGGTTTTGAGTTGTGTTATAATCAGACACAGTAGTGGTAGGGTCACACATCTCAATAGTTTAGTTCTCTTTTCGTTGTTCCTATGAAGTGGCTGCTTGGTCGAATGGTTACAACACTGGATTCCTGTGCGGGAAACCAGGGTTCGAATCCGCAGTAGTAAATTTTTTTTTACCCCGGACTAAAATAATATCCTTATCTGCTCTGTCGTGGTGACAGCACTAGCCATGTTGCCCTTAATACTAAAAAAAAAAAAAAAAAAAAGACAAGTAAAAGGGTAAACTATTTGATAATTAAATTTGACCATTTCGCATACTTATGATTGCATTGTTAAACTTTCCGATTGCATGGTTACGCTGAAATTTCATAGCTTTCCATTTATTTTCATTTAGATTTAGTTATTTCATCTGCGTTGGAATTTTAAGCTGTGCTGTTTACCATAGCGTTCATTTCCTAATTATGGTGTGGTTTTTTTCCTGTTTTCATTTGCTTTTCAAGCGTTTTTTTTTTTTCTTCCAACTACTTCAATGAGGGAAAGAGTTGTCGGTGAATTTTTTTGGAAAAGAGGGGGGGGGGGGGGGGGGGCAAACTGTTAACTGAGAGAGCTTTAAGTCACAGTAACTGCTTTACCCACTAAAAGTAGCAGCAGCAGTAATAGTTGTGGTTGGGCTGTTACACCGTAGTGCTCTCATGTGAAGACCGCCGGTAAGGTTATGGCGTTCTTCTGTGGGGAAGCGAAATTATACATCCTAACCTGACCAGTCTGTGGCGACAGCACTAGCCATGCGGAACCAAATCTTCTGGCTCACGACTCTCTGTCTACTCCGATGGTAACACAGATAGCAATGACATTATTTTAGCTACTGTGGTGGTGGTCGTGGTAGTAGTTGTACTGGTACTTGAAGGATGATGTGGTAAATATTAAACTAGCTCCATTCACTACCTATTACAATTCTTGCTCCCCATTTTAGTCCGGATGGACAGGGATGTCAATGTCAGTTACAGCAACAACAAAAATATCACCAGGTAAGGATTTTCAAATCCTTCGAAGAAAGAGAGAGCAGTAGTCGGTGGAAGAGGGGAGGGGAGCATGTGATAACCAAATAACCATTTTTGTTACTGTGCTAATAACACCATTTAAACGACCAATAATATAAAGACACAATTATAAGGTGCGTGTTCTAAAGTTGGAAAACCAGACTATCTCTATATCTGTGCAGAAAATGATTTCGACATTAACTATATCAGACACGAGCGATTTCCATTGTCTTTCTTTTCCAAAAACCTTTGATGAGGGAGAGAGTAGTAGGTGGATTTAGTTGTGTTGGTGAGGGGGGGGGGGGGGGGATCAAAGACTATCTCTTATCTGAGCAGACAATGATTGTATTAGACACGTGCGATTTCTATTTTCTTTCATTTCCATTTAGCCAAACTATGCCACAGCAACGCGTGGCCGGGTACAGCTAGTCATATCATAAAACACGACACAGGAAACAGATGCAGCAACCAACACCTGGCTCGCAGTCTATTTGAAGGTTTTGCCTAGGTTTCTTTTTGCAGACGATCAATGTCTAATGCACCACCAACAACACAATTTACTACACCATATTGACTCATTACATCAATGTCTAATACACCACCAACAACACAATTTACTACACCATATTGACTCATTACATCAATGTCTAATACACCACCAACAACACAATTTATTACACCATATTGACTCATTACATCAATGTCTAATACACCACCAACAACACAATTTACTACACCATATTGACTCATTACATCAATGTCTAATACACCACCAACAACACAATTTATTACACCATATTGACTCATTACATCAATGTCTAATACACCACCAACAACACAATTTATTACACCATATTGACTCATTACATCAATGTCTAATACACCACCAACAACAAAATTTACCACACCATATTGACTCTTTACATCAAGCCTGCACAAAGTATGACATGAGAATAAACACCGCTAAAATTGAGGTAATGAGGATAGACGGGAAACATAATATCATAAACGTTCATGTTAACGATAAAACAATCAAACAAGTAATAGGATTAGAGAGGATGACAGACTCGATAGAGAGATAGAAGCCAGAGTACAGAAGGCAAAAGCTGTCACCTACCAATTAGCCCAACTTATTAGATACCCAAATGTCTCCCTTCCAGCAAAACAGAAAATGGTTAATAATATCTTTCTCCCTACTTTATGTTATCAGTGCCAAACATGAGCAATGAATAGGGCACAATAACAGAAAAAAACCACATGTGAAATGCGTGGCGCAAGGTCTCTAACAACACTAGACGAGACAGGGTTACGAAAACCAGCAATAGAGAAACAAGTTTGAATAAGACAATGTCTGGATTATATTGATAAACAGTGAAGTGGCTCAGCCATCTAGTTAGAATGCAGCCAGACCAGACTGCATACGAGACTTATTACAGTAAAATATATGGGAGGAGGGCGAGAGGAAGACCAAAAAGATATGGATAAATGGTGTAACTAAAGCTTGCAAAAAGATGAACATTTCCATCACTCAAGTTACCCAAAAAGCGCAAAATACATACAGAAAACCAGGACACAGGGCTACAACCTGGTATCACAGAGACGACAAAACCACGACACTGGGCTACAACCTGGTATCACCGAGACGACAAAACCACGACAATGGGCTACAACCTGGTATCAGTGAAAGTCAAAACCATGGCATTGGGCTACAACCTGGTATCAATGAGAGACAAAACCACGGCATTGGGCTACAACCTGGTATCAATGAGAGACAAAACCACGACACAGGGCTACAACCTGGTTATCACCGAGACGACAAAACCACGACACTGGGCTACAACCTCGTATTAGTGAGAGACAAAACCACGACATTGGGCTACAACCTGGTATTAGTGAGACGACACAAGAAGAAGAAAAAGAATGTTAAGAACACGACATTAAACACTAAATGTTTGCCATTGTTTTGTGAGTTAGATCATGCCCTTTTTTACGATAAAAAAAAAAAAAAAAAACATCACTAGTACACAGACAATGAATGACCTGATGCTTCCTGTGGCCACTACACCTTAGGAAATTTATAAAATAAGAAGACCCTCTCATGACTAAAGAGTGTTCTAATTCTATACAGCTAGTACTATGCAGTTTGTGACCTTCCTCTTTGGCTGGAAACGTTTTGCAATGATCTATGATACTGACGAGGCCTACAGAGCAGTGAACCAAGCCCTTAACTCGTACCTGAAGGAGAGTAACATCACTGTTACTTCACAACATAGCGTGCAGGAAACCATGCCTGATAGTGAGGTGGAGGATATCTTCTACCAGATAAGAAAATATGCTAGAGGTACGTTATTTCGTTTTTATCATTCATTGGTTCATTGTCCCATTTTTCCATGATATTTCAGTATGTCAAATAGGGCTCGCAGTCTTTCTTCACTCTGTTATACCATATGTAGTTACTTCTAAATCCTCGGATGGAGTCCAGTCCTTTGGCTTCCCAGATCACAATTCGGTTTCGGGATTAACTTGTAAATTCCTCGTTTCCTCAGTCCCCAAGTGTCCCATTCCAGTGCCTGTTTGGAAATTCTCTGTTCGCATTTCTCATATTATGTCCAATATAGCACCATCTTATTTGTCTTGTAACTGTTGATAGTCGTGCTTGCATTTATCTGATGTCTTCACCAATCTTACATATTGTGTAAACAAAAGGATCAAGTGGTTAACTTCAGACTTCAGTGGTGGGCTGTACAACGCAAAAAGAGATGTTATGTAATTTGTGAATTTCAGACGTCTGCTGCATTCATTTTTCTGGTGCGCACAATTATATGTTAATGTGAATACTGTAGTAATGTCATGGTGGGATACAGCAAGCGATGCAAAGAAATAAGTTGCTGCACAACACAATTGGCAGCCTCGTTGTATTTGAATCCATCAGTAGAGAAACATTGTTTTAGAGAAATAATCCTTTGTACCAAAGTCAAACGCAAATTGTTATTGTTTTAAAGACCCACTCCGACTGTGGCTAGGGTCCCTGATATAACTCCACCTATGGGTTAAAGGGGGTTTCTGGGAACTGTCCCTGGGTGATCTTCATCGGAATGGTGGCACTTTGTGTCACCAGGTCTTTATCTCTGGGTATGATGTCCTGGTCGTGTTGAACGTCATCATCATCATCACCACACCTTTTTGTTTACGTTCGTGGTAAGGTTAGGAAGAAAAAATCATTTTGTACCCAAGTGGCGCATTGTGCATAGGATGTTGGACTCACATTTGGAAAGACCAATAAACACTGGGTGAGTGATGTGGTTTGTATATGGCCGCTTTTATTTCCCATGGCATTACTTAGTACTTATTTGAGGCTAGGTCGAGATGGAAGCTAAGGTCAGATTTAAATAGGGGAAAATCCGACTCGATGCTGTTTGGACCCCTAGCCACGGCGGTTTTTCCTTTATTTGTCCATTCAAAGAAGACTGAGGATAAAGATTATTCCACCAGAATTTATATTTTACAATCAGATGTCTATTCATAAAGCAGCTGGTCACCTATCGAGAGCGCTGCACAAAGCACAAGCTCCGAAGCTCCAGCAACCAACCCTCGTGGACTTTATTCATAATATTATCAGGTCTCTTTGTAAACTAAATATCCTGCATCGCAATCCAAAATGTGTAGTTCTGTTTTCGTACTAGACGCCATGTCCAGCAGTGCCGTTTTTTATTTCTCCAGTTTTCTATTGATCGCTAAGCTGAGGGGTTCGGGAGCTCTGCTTGTGTGTGTGACGCATTCACTAGCAGAACAATTAATCAGTCAAGTGTCGTCTCCGTAGTGAAGGTTGTCGGCAATGGTTTACCAGCACTTTCTGTCTTTCGTCCTGATCGAACACTCAAATAGAAGTTCCTCCATCTCTTGATATGGTCCTCCCACTTGTATCGTTGCAGTTGTCTACATTTTGTTCTCTTGTCTTCAAAGCTTCCCTATCATTCATATATATATATATATATATATATATATATATATATATATATATATATATATATATATATATATGATCATTTATATGTGTCAGCGTCTGTGACTTAGGCGTTGCGAACGCGCTTCGTAATGCCAGAGTTCTGGGTTCGATCCCAACTGCTGACGGATTGTCTTACGTTTGTTTTGACATTGGTACCGAGAGCTGACCGTTCTGAAGCAATGGCAAACTACTGATCATAAAAATTGCCACATCAGTCAAAACATACTTGGCTTGGTTCTTCAAAGTACTAAAAAGGATACCTAGCTAACTAATGTGTCTGTGTGTGTGTGTATATATATATATATATATATATATATATATATATATATATATATGTATATATATATATATCATCAGGTGCCTTGCCGACTGGCGTGGGCGATCATGCCTCTCCATAATCTGCGATCTCCTGCAGCATGTAACTGTTCATGTGCCGACACACCTGCATGCCATGCAACAAGACTGTCAAGCAACTTCTCTCGTTGTCTTCCTCTATCTCTCCTTCCACATATCTTTCCAGTGGTCACAACATGTTCTATTTTCCCCTCTTCTCATAACATGGCCGAAAAATGATGACTGTCTCCTTCTGATGTCTGTGATAAGATGTCTTCGGGCTCACGCCTCTTTCAAAACCACTTGGTTGCTCTTTTTGGCTGTCCAAGGTATTCTAAGCATTCTTCTGTAAAACCACATCTCCGAGGCCTCCAGAAATTGTTTGGCCTGCCTACCGATTGTCCAGGATTGTCCTATTCTGTTTCTTATTTCAGTAATGCATCTTCCATCTGATGTTATCTTCCATCTGATGTATATATATATATATATATATATATATATATATATATATATATATATATATATATATATATACAGTTCACTTTTTTTCTGCTCTATGCGTGTCAGTCAGTATCAGAGAAAATGGTAACCTCCTTATTCAATCTGACCCATTATGTAATCATTAGAATTAACTTGTGTGTAAACTTTTTTGGTTTAATCTGACCCAATGTGTAATAATTAGAATTAACTTGTGTGTAAACTTTTTTTGGGTTCAATCTGACCTAATGTGTAATAATTAGAATTAACTTGTGTGTAAACTTTTTTTTCTTTCAATCTGACCCAATCTGTAATCATTAGAATTAACTTATGTGTAAAAAATATTTTTCACAGTGATTGTCTTCTCTGTGCCTTGGATGACTATGAGGAAGTACATGCTTGTTGCTCATAGGATGGGAATGACCAGCGGCGATTTCGCTTTCATCTGCATCAATGGCGACGTAAGATAACATTTTGAAATCCTATGTTATCACATAAAAAGCTAAATTAAATACCCACAATATAGGGTATTGAAAAGGAAGAAAGAATTTTAGCAGCAATGAATATTAATAGGTTTATGTCTCACTTTATTTCAATAATCTTAGTGCAACAATGAAAATGTAAGCTTGATCACTAAATATAGATCACACTGTTTCAATTTTTTTTTTAAAAGTATTTTAGCTTTTTATTTTCTTTCAAAATGGCGGTGTTTGTTTCTTTGTGCTTCCAAGGCATTCTTTGAACTTTTCTGTCATCAAAGTTATACCACTAGATGTTTCCAAGCCTATGGCTATGTCAACCCTTGCTCTCCTTCCATGGAGCTCGCAGTTGATACAGAGTTCTCGAGTTTATTCCTTCTCTGAACATATTTATAAACTTTTGATTGCCTTTGATTATTTTCTTTCTGATGTCAGCGCTTTTTAAAAAAAAAATCTGTATATAGATTTTGGTGAGTTTAATAAATTCTTAGCATTTTCCGCAGAAACCATTCTCCACTGCTATTAGCTTATTATCAGCCTGTTTGTTTCACACAAGTAGAACCATTCATAATTTGCTTTAATTTATAAGAAGTGACAGTATGCTAATGTTTCACACAAGTAGAACCATTTATAATTTGCTTTAATTTATAAGAAGTGAGAGTATGCTAATGTTTCACACGAGTAGAACCATTCATAATTTGCTTTAATTTATAAGAATTGACAGTATGCTAATGTTGATCACAATACAACTATTGCAACAGCGAGACAGAGAGACAGAAAGAGAAAGAGAGAGAAAGAGAAAGAGAAGACCACAACAAACACTCAAGTGACAGTTGATTGGTCCATAATATTTGGTGTCTACCACCATATATCAAATTACACGCACACACGAGCACCCACACACACATACACGAATAAAAGCATGTGTACGTCTGTGCGTGCGTGCACGTGATAGCTATATTGATAAAGAAACAAACAAAGAGACAAAATGACAGTTACGAACACAGATAAACATTGTGTTTCGAGTTCCACAATCGCACACACACACACACACACACACACACACACACACACACACACACACATACATTTTCACAGACACACATGCGAAAAGATAGACACATCTAAATAAATAATAACATACATATAGATGTACAGATGGAGAGGCTGCATTTGGTCAACCTGCTCCAAATTTCGTGAAACGATAGCATGAAATGAGATGCAGCCTGCTCCAATTTTCGTGAAACTATCGCATGATATGAGATGTTAAAAACACTATTTTTCTGCTCTTTAACAATTGATATCGATATGCTTTTTGTAAGGCAATGAATGCATCACATATACCTAAACGCATCCACCCGTTTCTTTTTATATAAGTGCTTTCTAATTCATAGTCTTTAATTAATACACCCCCATCTTCGCGTTCAGAGGTTGTAATCTGCAGTGGGAAGTTTTAGTTCATCCACTTTTGGATTTGATTTTCAGAACTTGAGTTTTGCGTGCATATTCGTTTTAAAAACTGGCTTATTTGAATGCAGACTGTTGGTTCCTAACCTCACAGGTAGATATACTCCGACTTCATAGAAAGCATCCATAATAAGTCGATGATTACGACATGCTTGTTAGGAGATAAGTGGTTCTATTCTTCTCCCCCCCCCCCCCCCCCCGAAATGTGGCTACGGAGCATACATGGTATCTCAGTTAATATTATGTGTCAGTGTTAAGGAAGATTGACTCTTAAATGTTGAATTAAGAATCGACATCACGGAACTCGTGGCACTCCTATAAGCTCTCCGACCCATCTTTAGCAGCAAGCAAAGAGTTCCAATTCCCTTGGTACCAGTAACTGTCTGATTGTATATCTGTCTCAACTGTCAACGATATCATCACTAGGTGTACACAAGACCTGATCTACACAGAGAAGTACTTTCTGACGCCGGCTGGAGGAGAAACGACATCCACGATGGCAACGCCAGAATTGCATTTGAATCTGTTATTCACGTGAGTAAGCCGATCTAGTCGCATTACGTCAGTTAATCTCTCTCTCTCTCTCTCTCTCTCTCTCTCTCTCTCTCTCTCTCTCTCTCTCTCTCTTTATATATATATATATATATATATATATATATATATATATATAATATATAAATATATATATATATATATATATATATATATATATATATATATATATATATATATATATATATATATATATCACGCACACACTATTCTATACAATATATTGGTAGTTTGTCCAAATCTGGAGTTTGGTTTTGTTTCCGAACTTGAGTTTTGCGTGCACATCCGTTTTACACATCTCGGGCCGTCAATCATTTCTAAAGATTCACCTTTATGCTAATTCGTAACCAAGGTCACTAAACGTCTGGTCATGGTGCAGTTTTCCTAAATATGGCATGCACTAAAAATGGTTTGAATGCATTAAATTCCTCTGTTATTTTTAAGACTGTAACATTGATTTGTGATTTGTTCTTGCCTCCCAAAAGATATCTCACTTAACTCACACAGTGCCAGGCAATGCACCGGGCATTTGTTAGGTCTTTCTTGTATCAAATTGTATTCTTGTCTAGTTCAAAGTCTGATACTATTTTAACGACTTTAGACTAAACAAAGTTTGTTACGTCAACAAAATATCTCCTTAGAATAAATTGATGTGTTTCAACATCCGCGTGGAAAAGAATGGGTTAATGGTGCATCCTTCATGTTAACCTTTGCACTTACAACCATTGTGCATGAACTCATGGTTTGTGGTTTGTCTGTCTGACTGTATTTATTTCCTTTATTTATCCCATGTTTGGGCGGTATGGGAAGCCACAGTGGCGACACTCTGCATTCGCTTTCGGGCACGAAAGTCATGGGTTCAAATTGGCATCGAGCAGTGGTTTTTTTTCCCTTTCATTTCTTCAAAAAATGACTTGTTTCCAAGGTCATCGCAACCTAAAATGTTACTATGTAAAATCATGGAAAGTAAACGCGGTCGGCGTTATACTGACCATATCACCGACCGTGTGCCAGGTGATCGAAAAAATATAGAGCCATCCCTACATACTACATACTTAATCCGCCGTTTTGTTTTGTTTTGTTAGCTTGCAGATCTGCATGGCTAGCTAGTGCAGTCGCTACTAATCGTGCAGTCTGGGAATTGTTACATTTTCTGCTGACAGATAACATTTAGATCACCTCACCGATCTTTTGAATTGGGGTCCCCCGAATAACGGTCGGGCATACTAACCACTTGACCAGCCTCTTTATTGTTTGTAAGAAGACTAATTTAATTGTTTCTGATGAACTGACCGCCGGATTCTTATCTCCCTTTAGATACTTTCATTCATTGGACATATAGGGCTAGACCTATAGTTTGTAGACCAATCGGCATTCTCTGGGTGATGTAGTCAACATCACACCGGCTGCCTTTACTACCCATTCAAGGCTGGATCGACCTGGAAGCTAAGATCATTTTTGAAAAGAATAAAAGTCAGGCTCAGTCAGGACACGAACCCACAACCTTCCGATTGGCAGGTGCTCCTCTAGCCGCTACACTACTGCGGTTCACAAGACAGTGTGTCGATGCAATTTACATGTTTTTATAATAACAACAGATAGATGCTTGCATTCGGCCTAAATGTTCAGGGTTCGATTACGCATCGATGCAGGCATTACCAAATTCACATGGGCTCCTAGGACTACCCAGCCTAAAATAGTTACCAGGAAACGATCTGGGAAGAAACGGTGGCACATATCCATCTTACCAAGTGGTCAATAAAACTGTCTTACATCATGTCCCGTATGTCTGTCTGTAGGTACGTACGAGCGTACGCAAGCATGCAGGCACTCATGTATGTGTGTATGTATGTATGTATGTATGTATGTATGTATGTATGTATGTATGTATGTATGTATGTATGTATGTATGTATGTATGTATGTATGTATGTATGTATGTATGTATGTATGTATGTATGTATGTATGTATGTATGTATGTATGTATGTATGTATGTATGTATGTATGTATGTATGTATGTATGTATGTATGTATGTATGTATGTATGTATGTATGTATGTATGTATTTATGTATGTATGTATGGATGGATAGATGGATGGATGGATGGATGGATGGATGGATGGATGGATGGATGGATGGATGGATGGATGGATGGATGGATGGATGGATGGATGGATGGATGGATGGATGGATGGATGGATGTATGTATGTATGTATGTATGTATGTATGTATGTATGTATGTATGTATGTATGTATGTATGTATGTATGTATGTATGTATGTATGTATGTATGTATGTATGTATGTATGTATGTATGTATGTATGTATGTATGTATGTATGTATGTATGTATGTATGTATGTATGTATGTATGTATGTATGTATGTATGTATGTATGTATGTATGTATGTATGTATGTATGTATGTTCTGTATGTATGTATGTCTGTATGTATGTATGTATGTATGTATGTATGTATGTATGTATGTATGTATGTATGTATGTATGTATGTATGTATGTATGTATGTATGTATGTATGTATGTATGTATGTATGTATGTATGTATGTCTGTATGTATGTATGTATGTATGTAGTATGTATGTATGTATGTATGTATGTATGTATGTATGTCTGTATGTATGTATGTATGTATGTATGTATGTATGTATGTGTGTGTGTGTATGTATGTATGTATGTAATATGTATGTGCGAATGTATATATTACGTATGTGTGTATGTATCACAGGTCGGAAAACACACAAATATCTAACTCTCTATGTGTAGGTAATTATGGACACCTCTAACTTTGAAGTGTTCGACACGTTCATTGAGTATGTCTCCAAGGCCGGAAGGCTACAGCCATCAACCTGGGACCTGCCAACTGGCAATGAGGTGACTATCGTGTGTAGAGAACCACATTCTGTTACGTATGTACCCAAACAAGCACACACTCATTGGTGCTTTAATAAGGCAAACACACATATCTAAATTACATACAAAGACAGCAAATCAATTGTTTTTCCCACTTGGAGAGAATGCCTTCTGATGCTATACCATACAAGGCATATACCAAAAGAGGAGAGGGACGTAGAAAAAGAGGTTGACCAAGAACAAGATGGGAAGATAAAATCAGAGAAACTCCATAGCACTACGATGTGTCTAAAGTCGAAACAGCCATAAGAGCACGAAGCATGACCTTACATCTCCCTCGACACCCGAAGCGGTAAAAGCAGACGTAAAGAAGAAGAAGACACTAACAGAGAGAGATAGACGTAGAGACAATCAAAGACACAGTCTCCTCTGCATATGCAAGCATTGTGATATATTTGTTTTGAAATGTAACCAATTTTGACGTATATTTCCGTCTGGTTCCGTGTTTGTATTTGTACTTTGCCTTACACAGTTTCGTTTATAACGCACTTTGGTGTTGTCACATGAGTCAGTAATTGTAGAAACATTGCAGCTTTTTCAAAGAAACAATCCAATAATTTTTTAAAACTCTTTTAAAGACCTCTGAGTGTTTCAGATTGCAGTAGACACTTCTTGCAATTATAGACATTCACTGAAGTTATCTTTCCAATTTGCGACGTCACTATCATCTGTTTATAAAAACATTGTATTGGAGAACACTACTAGTCATTAAAATGACATTAATCATTCTAATGGTTTTTGTTTTTTGTTTTTTTATTTTTTTTTTATTTAATACCTGAGCCAGACAGTAGACGCATACGCGCCGTTTATATACGACGCCACTGTCCTGTGGGCTGCTCTGGTCAACCGGACATTGCAAGCCGGAGGGAGCCCTCGCAATGGAACCCATATATTTCGTCTAGCTCAATGGATTGAGACCACAGGTAATTCATTTAATAATTACTAATGTTTCTGCTTGTCATTTGAAAACAATATTATTCTGTATGACTTGTTATTATTTTTTTCGGGGGGGGGGGGGGAAGGAGGGGGACTGAGCAAACCAATAGCTCCAACTATTGTCCCTTCAGGCACACGTTACTAAATCCCTATCTCTGTAGATCCATCGGCAAAAAAAAAAAGAAGTAAAAGACCCCTTTTCCACGCCTTTTGGCGTATGGGGCATGTAGGGCTAGACCTATATTTTATAGACCAATTGGAACTTGGTTGGTGATGTGGTCAGCATCACACTGGACGTCTTTACTTCCCGTGACTGCACCCGGTACCCATTCAAGATTAGGTCGACCTGGAAGCCGAGGTCATTTTTGAAAAAAAAGTCCGGCTTTGCTAGGGAGCGAACCCACGACCTTCCGATCAGCAAGCGAGCATCCAGCCGATCCGCCATGGCGACTTCCACTCCATGGGTGGTGCAGTCAATAAGACGTGCAACCAATTGTTGCTGCAGTATGTGAGTGGTGCAGTCAATGACTGGTGCAGTCAATGACTGGTGCAGTCAGTGAGTGGTGCAATCAATGACAGGCTCAGTCAGTGAGTGGTGCAGTCAATGAGTGGTGCAGTCACCGAAAGGCTTAATCAATCAGTGTTGCCGTGAATGAGTGGTGCAGTCAGTAAGTAATGCAATCGGTGAGTGATGCAATTAATGAGTGGTACAGTCGATGATTAGTGCAGTCAGTAACATATGCAGTCAGTGAGTGATGAATTTAGTAAGTAGTACAGTCAATGAGTGGTGCAATCACCGAGTAAAACAATCGGTGAGTGATGCAGGCAGTGAATGGTACAGTCAGTATCAGTCCCCTAAATTATTAGAATCGTTTTCAGTCTAAAGTTGATGGTCGCATTCTAAAAATATGTATAGTAGCACTTCGGTATACGTTAGTTTTGACATTCGTTATTTAAAAAAAAAACTTGGTTGACGTCCTGTTTGAACGCGAAGACTTTTGCTTGATATACGACCTTTGTTTCCAAAACGAACTTGTATAAGTCAAAATTAATCAGGAGACCGTGCACTATCTTTTTTTGCCTCTCTCGAGAAAAAGATAGGGGTAGGCATAAATGATTTTGCCATGAAGTATCACCCTAACAAAGTCAAAACAAGTAATAATAGCAATGTCCTGGAATGACCAAACAATTTCACATTTCTGAAACTACATGAGAAGAAGGCAAAAATTATTTTGGTAGATTTTTAGTAAAAGTCAAACCTGATGAGCCTCAACCAGGTTAACGTAGCAAAAAAGAGACAATAGGCAGAGAAACAAACACCAAAATTTCAGATTCCTCAAGTTTTATTGGAAGGGGACTTTAGTCCAAACATTATCTTTCTTTTGTTTCCATGATTGTCAAAGTTGAAAATCCGTATTATTAAAAGCACAAATACACTTAATTTCAACATTGCTTGACACCCTCTTGACCCTTCCTGACACCCCTGAGGCCCCCCCCCCCCCCCCCGCCAATTATCACTGATCTAATTGCTTTAGTATTTATGTGTTTTAGTATTAGGCAGTACATACATTTATTTCCTATAACCTCATAAATATACAGTATGCAAGTAACAATAGGATTACTTCCCATGGGAAGGGTTAAATCATTCTCCTGTTATTTTCAATGAGGAAATTCGTTTGGCATACGTATTGTTTGGTATACGTTCAATGATTAGAAACGGATTGAGTCTGTTTTGCAGAGATACCACTGTAGTTGTATTCTAATCCTGACAATTGTGTTTATGTGAGTGGATTGGGAGTAAGAGAAAAGGGGGCGGGGGTGTCGAACGTTTAAATTAAACAACGAATCAGTTCCACCAGCACTCTTGTTTTAAAGTTATCGTTAAAAGCTGACTAATCAGCCTAGAAGTTTTGGATTCATATTTTCATAAATAAATCATATGTATAAATTCATCTGTTCTATAAGTTTATGCATGTATGAACGTATTTATGTATGAGTTGTTTATTATGTGTGGGCATGTTTAATAGACGGTATGTGCATGTTTATTGTTGAGCTTTCTCTCTCTCTCTCTCTCTCTCTCTCTCTCCCTCTCTCTCTCTCTCCTCTCTCTCTCTCTCTCTCTCTCTCTCTCTCTCTCTCTCTCTCTCTCTCTCTCTCTCTCTCTCTCTATTCTTTTAAAATTCAGTTCGTTATGAATACATTTATAACTCTCCATATTGCGCCCTTACAGCAATAACAGTCATTGTGTAATGGTTATTTGCGTCTATTTAAACAGTTTGCCATTTTGTTTCCAACTTGCTAGGCGTCACTGGCACACTTGTAATGGACAAAAACTGTGACCGACTGTCAAATATTTGGTTTCTGGACATGCAAAAAGATGGAAACTTCCAGAATGTTGTCAAGATTTCTTATACTGCTCGCGGTATCTACCTGGAAACCGTAAGTGTATCTTTCTATTGATCTCCTGTTAATAACTTCATTTTACAGTAAGATCAGGAGTAAGACAATGGTCTGTTTTATCATCTTTGTGGTTTTTTTAAAAATCATATTCATTCAGTATATCAAAGTGTCACCAGCTTTGGATGAACAGGAAAATGT